ATGACAGGCAGTTTTCTTTCTCTTTGTGTTCATCTAAAAAACACACGGTAAAGTCTCCGCAGTAGCACTCACTACTATAATGAGTTGGGATGTAACACAACTGACTCTTGATGTCTGCCCTCCGTGGAAGCCCAGGTCTCAAACAGAGAAAAGTCAAACTTGTACTGCAGGGAGAAAGGGTCACAGGGAGCAGAAAGACAGCCCACTCCGGAAAACAGCAGGTAAACCTCTCTAGGGAAGAAGAGAAGAGGAAGTACGGTCCCCACATCTCTGGAAAACTCAGTCCAGTCATCCCAGATGGAGCAATGAAATGGGCAACCACTACGAGGACATTCAAAGCACAGCTGCTGCTAGCTGGGAAATCCCAGCCGGCCACAGATCCTGAATCATCACCATAGATGTTAAAGCCAGAATGGACGCTGCCACTAATAGGTGCCAAGCCACAACCAGGACCTGGACGCTTCCATGGAAGGACCCTGGAATTCCAAGCCAGTTAGTTACACAGACTTGCTCCGGCCACATGATTAACATCACTGATAGCCCAATCTCTCATTTCTAATGATTGAATATTTGAGAACTAACTTATGACATTATAGCAGATTTTACTGATTTCTTTTATAATCAAAAATGAAATTAATAGAAAGAATATTCAATTAGTTTTTTTTTTTTAATTCCAACCACCTGGAAATTTAAAAGTACTCTCCTAAATCACTATGGAGATAAAAATTATTTAAAATTTTAATGTAATTATAAGGGCACCTGGCTGGCTCAGTCAGTGGAGCATGCAACTCTTGATCTCAGGGTTGTGAGTTTGAGTCCCACATTGGGTGTACTTAAAAAAAAAATCTTTTAAAAATTAATGTAATTATAAACAGTTTAGAATATATTTTTAAAAATCAGAACACTATGTATCCAAACTTAAGGAATAGATTCAAAGCTGCATTCAAAGGAAAATTCATAGTAGTAAACATTCTCTTACAAAGAAAAACAGAAAAATAAAGCATTCACTTCAAGGAATTAAGTTGGAGAAAAGGAATGATTTTTAAAAGATAAAGGTAACACAAAGGAAATAATGTGAAAAACATATCAGAATTGAGAAATATCTCCAAGAGCTGGTTTATGAAAAACAAACCCATGACAGACTTTGACAAAGCTTATTAGAAAGAGAAAGCATCCATTGTAATGGGGTTATATTTTGAAAATTATTGAATTTTTCTCTTTTGTCTTTCTGACCTTGACATGAATTTTCCTGCTGTCATTTTAAAGCATCCTTTGGGGGATCCTGGAGAGAGAAAGACTTGTTACTGAAAAAATGCAAAGAGAAAGGATAAGGTGATACTCAGCTTTAGCCAAGCAAAACAAGATATGCTACGGCCCCAAGAAGAGATTTCCAAATTCTTCTCATTCTCCCTCTTTAGCACATTAACCACCTTACTTGGGAGACACAGCTCCTGGAGCTTTCTCAATCTTTTCACTCCTGGTCCCCACGAATTACCATTAAAGCTTAGGTTTGAATTAGGCCTGGAGGTTTGAGTCAGGACAGAAGAAAATATGAGGGACAGGGGTAGCCTGCCCATTCCCAGCTGGGAGCAGAGGTGGAAAGAAGACAGAGAAAGGAAGAGGAGAACTCTGGCTTGGGGACAGGAAGGTAAGGGTAACCACAAGAGTAGAGGGACGTTGGCCTCCTCCCTCAGCTAGGACTCTGAAAAGAGATCACCTCTTGGACAGTCTCCCATCCTGAAATTACCTTAGAGCAGGGTCACATGTACTTCATGGGCAAGTAGAGGGAGGCCCTATATTTAATTTCCTGAACCAGCCTCAGTTCTCATATGTTTAGATGGGTCCCAGAAATAGCTGGGAGACTGGCTGTGGAGCTAGCTAGCCAGAGCTGGGCGAGACAGCATCAGAGCAAATGTTGCAGAGTGACAACACAGGAGATGACTAAAAGAAAATCTTCACCAGATCCCAGACAGGTAGCACCAGGTGGGAGCTCAGTGAGGAAGATAGGGTGGGGGCACCAATAAGGTAGAATACCCGAGGAAAAAGAATGAGCAACAAACTGCAATTTCCTAACTGGCTATCAGCAGGGTAGTACCCAGCCATCAGGTGGAAAATGGACAACATCCCTCTGGAGATTAGAGGAGTCAAAGGATACCATGATCATGAACCCCAACTCTTAACTCTACCAACACATCATCTAAGCTCACCTCCCCCTTGTATCTGGGTGTCATCTTTAAGTAAGAAGAAATGGTGAAAACAATATGAAAGATGGAGCATTTGCTCCCGGAAAGAATAAATATTACCAGAAGGAGTTGCTTAAATTGTCCCATCTGACTAAGCTTTAACCTCACACACACACACACACACACACACACACACACACACACCCCATCTTGCCCAGCACCTAAGAAAGGCTACACAGCAGGGACATTAAGAGTGTGGGATTCTGGATCCACATGGCCTGGGTCTGACTCCGGGATCCACAATTTGCCAACCCTGTGACTCTGGACAATTTACTTCATCTCTCTGTGCCTCAGTTTCCTCAACTATGAAATGAAGATAATCATAGTTTCTCTTAGTAGTTTTTAAGGATTAAGTGAACTAGTAAATGTAAAGTGCCTAGATCAATGTCTGGCCCATAAAAACATTCACTAAGTGTTGTCTATCTTTATTACTATTAGCATCATTATTACTTTTACCTATTACCTACAGTATGGGGCTCATGAAGGAAAGATCAGATCAGCTACAGAAAAATTAAGAAATTATAATTTCTTGGGGTGCCTGGGGGGTGGTACAGTCACTTAAGTGTCCAACTCCTGGTTTTGGCTCAGGTCCTGATCTCAGGGTCATGGGATCGAGCCCCACTTAGAGCTCTGAGCTCAGTGGGGAGTTCTGCTTGAGAATCTTTCTCCCTCTCCCTCTGCCACTCATGCCTCTCTCTCTCTCTCAAATAAATAAATCTTTAAAAGAAATTATAATCTCTCCCCATAATCAAGTAGTATAGATTAAAATTTGTACCCTGTTACATAAATAATTAAAATCATAAATGATAAAGGGGATATAAAATAAATCAGACAGGTTTTAAAAAACATACCAGAATGGTATAAAAAAATATTTAAATCAGATTCAGAAAAACACATGAATTACCTATATTAGCTCAAGAAGTATGCAAAGTAGAAAAGAAGTATGCCAAAAGAAACTGAAAAATTCATCAAAGAATTACCTCAAAAAGGCCTAGGACCAGGTAATTCAATTAGTGCATTCTTTCAAAATTTCCCCAAGTGGCAATGCCAAAATGAATAACAAACAGTACCAAGGCCAGGAAAAAAATGGAATGCTCCCCAGGTCACTGGAAAGCTATGCTATCTATAGTATACAAACCTGCATCACATAAAACTAGAGGCCACTATTTTTCTCAAAAGCTTTGTTACTCTAGGATTTCTTAGTGCCTCTAACAGGCTGTAAAATCCTAATAGGAGGACTGTGGGAGATTATTCCTACACTTCAAGATTTCTTCCAGGCTCCCCCAGACCTTTCTTAGGACTATGCCATACAGAAGCCTGGGATCGTGCAATCGGTAGATTAAGAAGGTCCAAGAGCCAAGAGGATACAGAAGGAAGCATAGAAAAAAGGATTCGCAAGAGATGAGCAGAGGAAAAGAGACAGTACACAAAATTGCAGTAATAATAGCATTGCTGAGGCATGAAACGGTACATTCTTCTGGTGAAAATGTAAATTCAATCAACTCTTCCAGGATGTAATTGGCCCTATGTGTTTGGAACCTATAATGTATATACTCTTCAACCTAATAATACGACTTCTATCACTCCATCCTGGAGAATTCATTTAATAGGAAGATAAGGATTTACATACAAGGATGCACTTAATAGAATTATTAACAGGGGCACCTGGGGGGCTCAGTTGGTTAAGTGTCTGCCTTCGGCTCAGGTCATGATCCCAGGGTCCTGGGATCGAGCCCCGGGTCGGGCTCCCTGCTCTGCGGGAAGCCTGCTTCTCCCTCTCCCACTCCCCCTGTTTGTGTTCCCTTCTCTCACTGTGTCTCACTCTGTCAAATAAATAAAATCTTAAAAAAAAAAAAAAGAATTATTAACAGCAAATAAAACAAAAACCAAACAGGAAACAGTCTAAATGTCTAGGGCTACAGTTAAATAGATGGCACATTCATATGATGAATTATCCAACAATTAAAAACAATGTTTGGGAGAGGGGTTAATGACATGTGTTTGTCTAATTTTTTAGGAAAAAAAAGGGTAGACCACAAACTACAAAGTATAATCTTAAAATATATGTAGGTAGGAAAAACTATTGGAAGAATATAGACCAAAGCCTTAATATGATCTGTGGGTGGTAGAGCTCTGAGTGAATATTTTTTAATACATTATCTAACTTTCTGCAACAAGCACGTATTACTTTTATAATTCGCAAGAAAGATAAAAACCAAGTAATTATTGCACATGGATAAATACTCCTATGAGTGAAAAAGAACAGTTTTTAAGTCTCCATTCACTAAGGACAAAAAGAGTCTCAACGTTGTGCACAGAATTCTGCCAAACGTGAATCTTACACGGGTGCACTGTAAAGCATAAAGACAAAAAGCAAACCAACCGAATCCCTCTGCAGACAGGCTGAGCTGCCTCTCTCAAGGGTTTTCAACACACGGTTACCGAGAAGGGGCCTCGGCACCCATTTTTTTTGCAAAGTGCAGCTGTTTGAGTATCTCCCTTGGCTCGAAGAACCTCTACGTGGAGGTACGGGCTTTACAAAGGAGGTTGAGGCAGTGTGAGGAGTTGCACACACACACACAGTGTTACACACACACACACACACACACACTTCAGACACCCAAGCGCACTCAACCGTGCGGTCCCAGCCAGACAGCTCAAGCGAGCCCTGCGGAGCCACCCGCGCCGCAGCCGCGCCCCATCCGCGCCCGGCAGCCGCCGAGCCCCCTCCCGCCGGCCGCCCGGCGCCGCAGGTACCTGTTCGTGGGGCGCGGTAGCTGGGTCGCGGGGCTCCGGAGCGTCCTCAGCGCGGCGGGAGTGCCGCGCGCTGTGTCCCTGCTCTCCTCCACCAGGAGCCTGCGCCGCCAGGAAGAAAACTAAGTTGTTAGACCTGGCTGGCAGGCTCGGCAGTCGCAGCGCGCTCGCACCTGGCCGGGGCGTCCGCGCGCGCCCCGGCGCCCCCGGCAGCTCCCAAACCCCGGAGTCTGAAGCCGCTTAGGGCGGGAAGGAAGGGAAAGCACGGGCCAGAACGGCGAGCCCGGGAGACCGCCGGGGGCCCGACGGCGGGTCCCGCTCCGCAGCCACGCCCGCCGGAGCCCTCACAACCCCTCTCCGCCGCAGCCGCTGCCCACCCGGTCCCAGCGTCGCCCCTCGGTCACCCCCGCCCCGGCCAGTCCTGCCTCCTGGACGCCCCCTTCCCGGCCCGCCTCGCGCGACCGCCGCCCGTCGGCTTCCCTTCGCCGCGGCCCCAAAGTCGGCGCCCGGAGTGGGGCGGCCGGGCGGCGGGGGCGCCCCGGGGCGCGCGCGGAAGGCGGGGGGCGGCCCGGGCGCGGCGGGTGGGTTACCTGGAGCGGGCGGGCGCGTCGGTGGAGCACCAGAGCAGGCGCAGCAGCAGCAGCAGCAGCAGGCTGGCGAGCAGAGCGAGCAGCGCGCCCCCCGGCCGCATCCTGAGCCCCACGCACGGCCGCCGCCGCCCCGGCGAAGCGCAGCCCGGCGGCCCGACTCGCCGCTCCCGCCGCCGCCGCAGCCACGCACACCTCCAGTGTTCAAAGGCGGCGGGGAGGGGCGACGACGGTGCGCGGCGCGGGCCCGCACTCCCGGGCGCCCCGGGCCAGCCTTGCACGGTGTGCGGCGGCCAAAGGGAGAAGGCGTGGGCCGGCTCTCGCCTTCTCGCGCCCGGCCCCGGACCGCTGAGCTCGGCGCTCGGGTCGGCCGTGACGATTCGCCGAGCTCGCCTCTTCTCCTCCCGGAGGCGCTCCGAGCTGCTGCGGGCTCTGGTCGCCGCCGCCGCCGCCGCCGCCGCCGCGCGGGGTCACCTGAAGGTTGGGACTCGCGAGCTGGACTCGGTGCTGATTGGGCTCCAACTTTTGTGCGCCCTCGCCTTCCCCGGAGTGCCCGCGGGCTCTTCCCCGAGCCCACGCAGCTCACCCACGCACACCACAACTCCTTCCGCGTCCCTGCCGTGGAGAGCAAGGACTCAGACGGGTGGAAGAGGAGAGAAGAAAGGGCCCACTTCAAAACTTTTTTAAAACTGTGTAGTCGCTCGGCTGGATCGCTCCACGCAAAGGCTGCTAGGGACTCGGTTTTGTTGGATAGATCCTGGTCCCCAAGAGAAGGAGTAACCGTCCGTTACTTGAGCGCAGATGCAGAGGCACAGAGAATGGATTTCCAGGAGCCAGGGAGTCTTTAGGGGGTGGCATACCGCGTGAAGGCCGAATTCGGCCCCAGCCTGGTTTTGTAAATAGTGTCTGGAACACCTACATGCCCGTTCCTTTGTATTATCAATGGCTGTATGTAGCTGTGTCACCTGGGGCTGCTTTTGCGTTACGAGGGCAGGGTTGGGTGGTGGTGACAAAGATCATATGGCCCACAAAGCCCAAAGTATTTGTCTATCCCTTTCCAGAAAAACTTAGCGGCTCCCTGGTCTTAATCATGTTGGTCTAGATCATATTGGTTAGATACCGGAAAATGATCCTATGACAGTGTGATAACGGTCTGGCTCTCCTCTTTCAGCCCCAAGCTATTCTGCCCTCGTACCTCCGTGCACGTCTCCTGCCGTGCAACGTCAGTTTTGCTCCTGACTCAACCCTTGAGGAACCTCAGTAAACCATAAACCCCATAACTGTTATATGGGGCTCATTTGACCATTCACTCTACTTTTGTACAGATTTCAGATTTTTCCAAAAGCAACACCTGGAGTCTACCATCTCACAAATACCTTGATAAGGTACTTTGGAAAGGCTTAAACTTTGAAAAGGCTTTGATGGGTTAGGTTTCCCAAGTGACAAAAATATTTGTATTTCAGTTGGAGTCTCCTAGAGGCATAAGGTCTTAACCTGAAAGACCCACGCCAGAGCCTTTGGGGGAGCAAGTTGGCCAAACAACAATAAAGCTGTTGCCAGGGATTTTGTCACTGAAAAAATAACATATTAAGAAGAGAAATATGGGCTGCCTACTTCCTTTCTGCTAACCCTGCATTTACTCTAATTAAAACTAGTTGAAAACAAACCAGAACTTTGCACATAGTAGTCGATCAATTAATGTTTGATCGATGAATAAAACACCGAGGAACTAATACTTTTCTTAAAGAGAAAAAGGAGAGGGGCGCCTGGGTGGCTCAGTTGGTTAAGCGACTGCCTTCCACTCAGGTCATGATCCTGGAGTCCCGGGATCAAGTCCCACATTGGGCTCCCTGCTCAGCAGGGAGTCTGCTTCTCCCTCTGACCCTCCCCCCTCTCATGCTCTCTCTCTCTCATTCTCTCTCTCAAATAAATAAATAAAATCTTTTAAAAAAAAGGGAGAGAGAAAGGAGGAAAAAAACTGAAAATAGGTGTGACTGGAAATATGATTTCCTTCCATAGCTCACTCCTGCTGTTAAAATATGTACTAATCAATAAAGAGAAAGTTGCTCCTTTTACATAAGGCCAACATTTTTAGGAATACGGCTGCTTATCTGAGTAGGGCATAAAAAAGTAATACTATATTCAGGTGGTGCTAAAATAAAGCAACCCAGTTCTACATGTTTGAAAGTTAAGCATTCTGTTAGACAAGTAGGATGTGGCACAATTATCTTGAAAATGAAAAGTTGTCTGGATTTGGGAGATAGTCTGAATTTTATTTCTCTTAGAGCAGAATTGTGCAGACAACTCATACTGGCGATGGTTTGCAGAAAAAGAAAAGGGCATTATTGTATCAGCCAGGAAGCTGCAATTTTACCTAATTTACTAAGGTTTAATATTTCAGCACAGCTGGGCTCAAGGCAACAGCAGAAGAGTCAGCCTTGCACTGGGCTCCCTAAACACCCTTGCTGTAAATTAAGTTACTTTTTATCAAGCCAATGGCTATCAGCAGGGGACTCACAAAAGCCCATTTTAATTGGAAAACCAAGTGTAAATTTGCAACGGGAATTCTGAACCCAGTGTTAAAATTTGACAGTAGAGAACTTTACCACCAGTTTTGTAAATGAAGACTTGGGTTGGTAAAATATGAATTATCCTACTTATCCTTGAGAGATTAAAAAAAAAAAACACCTAACAAAAACATGAGTCCTTATATATTATCAGCCACAGAACCCAAACTGGACTACTGTGTATTTGGTAATTTAAGATTAGCAGGTTTGACCAACAACCTCAAAGATCCATTTTGGTCATTCAAGTAATCAACAGAGGCCCAGAATCTAAACAGAAACTCGGGGTGCTGTGCAGAAGTCTGAGCTGGTGTGTGAACCTATCTCACTCACCCAGTCTGTCCAGCATTTGCCGCTCATTTGCCTTTTATTATTCTTTAGTTATCACCATGAATGCCCTTACCTTCAGAGGATCAGCATTAAAACCTGGTTGGGAAGTACTGATGCATAAAAAATGTCCAAATAATTGAAAATCTTCCTGGAAGTTGGGGTTTCTCATTTTTGGTGTAAGGTTTTAAACATTTCCATGTGCATGGATTTGGGGAGTCATAAAGAAGAATCCCAAATATCAAGTGGCTATTGTATCCATTTGTATACATGAGTACAAACTCTCAATATAGAGAAATGCAGAAAATTAATACACCCAAGAATCTTTTCCTTCATTTGGGTGACATTTTTATCTCCCTGATAGAAAGGGTGGTTCCTGATGTCTTCAGGCTGCTTGATTGGTTTTAGTAATATTAGAGATTTGTGAAGACTATAGAACAATAGCACATCCAGGGGCGCCTGGGTGGCTCAGTCGTTAAGTGTCTGCCTTTGGCTCAAGTCATGATCCCAGGGTCCTGGGATTGAGCCCCGCATCGGGCTCCCTGCTCCATGGGAAGCCTGCTTCTCCCTCTCCCATTCCCCCTGCTTGTATTCCCTCTCTCGCTGTGTTTCTCTCTGTCAAATAAATAAATAAAATCTTAAAAAAAAAAAAAAAAAGAACAATAGCACATTCATAAATATTAAACTATTCCTTGGGGGAGAAAATTCATGAGGATAGTATAACCAAGGCCACATATTTTCAATAAATCATAAGGTATAAATAAAAGTAGAAATAACTTCCAGAAATCAACAACCTTGTATGAGATGGTGCTATGTTTCCAAATACGTTTTATTACAGATTTCTCCCACTGCTAACTGAATATTTAAAAAATTGATGCAATTCCCTGCATAACATAGTTTTAACTTTAAAGATAGAACACCTAAGATGATACATAAATTTCACATAGGTCTTACGTTTGTAAGAAATCCAATTTGTGGTATAACTAAAATTACAGAACAAAAAAAAATAAGAGTTATTATTCACAGTGCAAAATAGATTTTTAATGTATGAAACATTCAAACTTCAAAAATTCCTCTCTCTGAAATCCACTTAAAAGTCCATCAAGGACCAAAAAGAGAAATGGAAATTATTTATCCTGAAACTATAAAATGGCCACAATCCCATTCCACAAATTCCCAAGAATATCTGCAAAAGGTGAACCCATTGGACAAGAATACCAAGTTCAAGACTCATTGCCCCTATTTATGAACTTAAATTTGTAGGGTGGGGGGAATGGAAAAGTTTCTGAAGGTCCTACTAATGCACAATTTGGAAGAACAAAGTCTGGGAGTAGGTCACATCAAAAATGAGCAGTGACTACTATAAATGGCCAGGGTTACAGAGTTAAAAGAGAGATGGTGACCAATAGTTCTGTTTCCAGTGAATTCAGCTTTCTAGCCAGAGGAATGATGACCTAGACATAATGCTATTCTTAAAAGAGAGATGCTACCAAAAAATTGTGTAGCTACTGATTAAAATCAATTTACCAAAGAAAAATTAGTACCTAGTCTATGTATTCAATAAACAAAAGGCCCTCACGCCATTGGTTTTTATACTGAATTGGCTTCTCCCAGACTATCCTTGCTGATTCCAGAGTCTGCAAGATCAGGCAGAACTCCAGCTGTTTCAACAGATTGGGGGTGGGGGTTGCATATGCAAAGATAATGTACCCAAACCTGCCATGTTCTCTTCTCAACTTCTCTTCCTCACCACTTCATTGTGTACAACCTACACTATAAGCAGATAAATAACTAAATAAAAAAAAATCCAATAGCAAGCCCTTAATGCAAAACTAAGTTTCAACAAGTAGGAAGATGAAAAGGAAGCACTGCCAAAAATTTTCCATTCACAGTATTTCTGGCAAGTAACAGGAAAAATAAAAACAGGCATGATTTATTTCAGAGATGAGTAAGCAAAAGAAAAAAAAGATGGAAAAGTTCTGCAAAATATAAAAGGAAAGGAATGTAACCAATAAAAAGGAAAATGAAGACTATAGGTTGGAACAAGATTTCCCCCAGGAAACAGCAGAAAATGTAAGCAACAGTCACTTCATACTGCCCAGGAAATGAAACACAAACACTGTGATAGAAAAACCCAAAGAAGAAATAAGAACTGAAAGAAGAGATAGCAAAGCAATAGTATGAAAAGTGAGCTGATGACAATAGAAAAACACACAAGCAGAAACCATTACAGAACTTAAACCTTAGAAGTCTGAGCAGAATTTAGGTGGCAAAAATCTGAATCAGTGTTATGGAGATTAGGCTAATGAAAATTACAGAAAACACAAAGGAAAGGGACAAGGAAAATACAATCATTAGAAAAACAATTATATATATCAAAGACAGATATTACATATCTACCATGTAAGTATTAGGGGTTCGTTTTTAAAAGCAAAGGAATGAAATATTAAAAATAATTAAGGATATAGTAGAAGAAAACTTTACTGAAAAAATATGTAAATCTGCAAATATTTTATGTTCTCATTGTCTGAACCCATTATGTGCACTTATGATGTTCTAGAGAAATTTATAGAGAACAACTAACGTCGTGATTTATTCTCCTCCAGAGACTATTCAAAAACAAAGAATCCTAAGAGCCCAAAAGACAGAAGAAAGAGGTAGAAATTAATCTTGTTTCTGACTTCGCCTCAGCAACCGACTCAAAAGGAACAAAACTAGGAGCGCCTGGGTGGCTCAGTTGGTTGAGCAGCTGACTCTTGATTTTGGCTCAGGTCATGATCTCAGGGTCCTGGAATTGAGCCCTGCACTGGGCTCCATGCTCACCTGGGAGTCTGTCTGAGAATTCTCCTTCCCTCTCCCCTGGCCCCCTCCCCTGCTTATACACACACACACTCTCTCTCTCTCTCTTTCTCAAATAAATAAATGAATCTTTAAAAAAAGAAACAAAACTATATTTATAGGGTTTTGAACAGAAAAGGTGTAACCCCGAAATTCTATATCCAGCTAAGATAGTTTTTATAAATAAAAGCAAATA